TAGACTCACATAACTGTACTTAGATCAAAGATCAAAAACATCTCGTTGATTTATTAGCTTTAGGTGGAGCATAACGAAAGTTTTCTGGCAAATCATCAGTCTCGCACGCAAATTTAACCTTTTGCGAGTTTCATTATGAACTTGCTAACTAAAATACTAAAATATAAAAACTCATCTATGCTTACGAGAAATATTTAATCAAAAGAATCCCATACATCCACATCTCTTGGTAACTAATCCATTGTGAGTTGCTGTTATCACAGCCCAGAGCACAGCACAGCAGATTGACGGAATTGCAATTCCAATTGTGGAATTGTGACGTCCCATGAAACCTATGAATAGGCTAGTATTTAATCTGAACAGCAACATTTGTGAGATATAATCAGTCAAAACGGTTTTGAGACTATATCTGATCTAATTTCGTGTCTCTTGAAAAATATAGTGTTCTGTTTGTTTGCGGATCGGAGTGTTGTTCGTCAAGGTTTAGTGCAGCGTAAACATTCTAGACTCACATAACTGTACTTAGATCAAAGATCAAAAACATCTTGATTTATTAGCTTTAGGTGGAGCATAACGAAAGTTTTCTGGCAAATCAGCAGTCTCGCACGCAAATTTAACCTTTTGCAAGTTTCATTATGAACTTGCTAACTAAAATACTAAAATATAAAAACTCATCTATGCTTACGAGAAATATTTAATCAAAAGAATCCCATACATCCACATCTCTTGGTAACTAATCCATTGTGAGTTGCTGTTATCACAGCCCAGAGCACAGCACAGCAGATTGACGGAATTGCAATTCCAATTGTGACATTGTATTAAAGTTTAACTAAAGAAGGATTTGATTTTAGATTTGTGTGGAGTTTTTATTTTGAAGTGAAAAATGTAGATCCTTGGCGTAAGAATTGGCACAGAATGTTTTTATTTTTGTAGCCTAATACTTGTAAGGCTTTGTCAAGCCAACATAGCCTAATGAAACAAACTATTATTTAAGATTCCTCCTCTTCTTCTTCTTCTTATTATTATTATTATTAATATTATATTACATATAATATAATATATTGCATGCATGCAGGGCTGGGCTGGGATTAAAATTCAGCCCTGGACAAATCCAGCCCATTTGGCCCACAAGTTCCCTGAGAATGTTTTGCTGGGTTAGGGCCTTCAATTAAAGTATAATAAATGATTAGCCTAAATAAAACAGGACAGACACAGATAATAATAGATATTACTGAATTCAAATGCAGCAAAGTTATTAATGATGCATTTTTGTCACATAGAAATGCACTTGACAGTAAAGCATTGATTTTGAGCTAGAATGCAGAAAATTTAATGTTATTACATTTTGTCATCATTTCCTCACCCTCATGTTGTTCTAAACCTGTGTGACTTACTTTCTTCTGTGGAACACAAAAGGAGATATTTTGTAGAATGTAACCAAACCATTTTATGGACAAAAAATTCTTGAATTTCTCAAATTATCTTATTTTATGTTCCACAGAAGAAATAAATTCATACAGGTTTGGAATGACATGATGTTGAGTAAATAATGACAATTTTAATTTTTGGGTGAACTATCCCTTTAAGAACTTCAATAGGCTATTTGTAAATAGTAAACACCTATTTTATATAAGACACTGATTTTTATCTTAAATGAGGCTCTTATTGAATCAACATTTTACTTAAATTAAAATTAATTACAACTAAACTTTTAAAGAGGAAGAATCTACTAAAGCTATTCTGTTAAATTATCCTTTACATGAAATTTAGTTCTTGCTTTATAGGATCCAGAGTTTAACTGACTAGTATTAGTAAGAGGTGGTCACAACAAGTAAAACCAAGGCCCTCATTACCATGGTTATATGGTTTTTAAAATAAATAATAAGTAAACTATGGAATTTGTCATTAAAAAAACAACATAGAAACTACAAAAACAACTTCTATAAAAGTAAAATATTCCCCGATATTTAATATAAGTATAACAGTAACATATAGGCCATAATAAAAACATTTCTGCCCAAACACCATTTGTACAGTGTTAATAAATGCAAGTTTAATTGAGCTTGTAATTAGGCCTATTGGCGTTTTCCAGTTTACCTCTTCATGCAGTTGACATTGTCGTGGCTGTTTCAGCCAGAATCACTACAGAACCTTTAAGGTTCTCATATCGCACGACTGTATAACAATTGTGTGTCACATCTGAATGGATCAAGTGACTTGCGCTGTTTATCACTTTACATCGTGGCGGAAGGGGGGTGGGGGTGGTCCGTTCGCCGCGGGGCCCCCTCACCGTGCCACGGGCCAGTGCGACCGCACCGGTTGCACCCGGGCACCCCCCTAAGGACGGCCCTGGTGCCCATAATTCGGCTCATTGTTTCAAGATAAACGATTTAATTTGTTTAATCACATCGATGTTCAAAAATAAAGGGATGCAATTTTTTTTTTTTTTAAATAAGTCTAAACTAAATAATAATTTAAAAATAAATAAGAAATAAAAATAAAAACTAAACTAAAATCCACATAATTACCTTGCTGTTTGTATTTATGATAAGAGCATGGAATCAACAAATTTAACTGGGACATATGAAAATTAAAATAAACAGCTATATTTAAAAAAAAACCCCGTTTCAAAGTTTTTGAAACGGTTCTTTGAGACGAACAGTTTGAAAGAACCGATCCGTAGTAGTTCCCGATTAGAAGTTCACATACAGAAAATCTCGCGATATATCATATTACATACCACCACATTTATCCACATTACAGTGTGCGATAGAGACAGGTAAGATGGCGGCGCAGGAGACTCAAGCAACACAGCAGTCGTCCGTAACCAACGGAGAGGTAAGAATAGCCGAAATGATAAAGTGTAACCGTCAAATGGACGTGTCAACGAACAGCTTTAATATAGTCCACACGTTCACGAAAGCAAATACTTGTTTCGTGTCAGTTTTAAAGAAGAAAACCAGATTGCCGGTCTGAATCAGCGACCCCTTTAATTCCGCATGCATTGGGACAGAAATGCTGCCTGAGTCACGAAGGGTCTGTCCGATTGTATGGCTAATTTTTACCGGCATATCTAATTTTTACAAAACAGAACAGATCTCAGTTTATACCACTGATCTACAATAGAGAACATATGTAGAGAGCAGTGGTTTATAGCATGAATCTATTTCACGGGCTGTATTTCAAAGCCTAGTTAATTGCTGCTTCCCTTGACAGCATTTTTGGGCATCATCATATTTGAACGCGCGTTTGATGCCCTTTAACGCTGGTAGACCGCTGACGAGGCTTTGAGAAATAGCATATATTATAGACGGCTGTTCAGATATTGATCTACGTAGTGTTATGAGCTGATGTCTATGAGTTGATCAGTGTTAGCATGCTGGCTAACTAGCTGCCTAGCTCCTCTGTTAGCTTCACATGTCAAAGCAGTTTAAAGATGGCAGTATTGTGCCACCCTGGTCATTAATCCGCCAGTTAGACCGTATTGTGACAAAATAGCACGTGTCTTGGTGTAGATAGAGGAACTGTAGTGGTGGTGAGAAGTTTTGTAATGATTATAGCATGTTGTGTGCGGTCAGCTACTTGGGTAATTAATTGGTCAGGGGTGATCAGTCCTGTTACTGGAGATTTGCTTTCATATAGAGATTTATTGCAGTCATGTTCCTATTGTTATTTTCTAGTGAACATGCTGACTTTGGTTATTTATTTTTGGTGGAGTTAGACCTAAACTCTGAGGATAGCCGATCAAGAGTGAGAACTTACTATTGGCCTGCTACTGGATTAAGTAGTTTGACTTATCTGGATGAATAACCCTGGGGTTACTGATTACACCGGTTAAAGGTCATAGGTGGTATCATTCATAAACATTACTCAGGTTCACTAACCGTTTTCCAAAACAGATGTGGGCTGCCAAATGTAAACAAGTGGATAACAGTTTCTCAGCATTTCTCTTGAAATCTCAAGCTTGTTAATTTTACGGGAAACAGAAATCTGGTCTGATGTCCTTTATCTGTCATTTTTTGTTTAATTCATCATTTTGCACCCATGCTCTAGGTGGGATCTTCTGTTCATAGTAAGGGGTGTAATTAGATCTGTTGACAAAAATTACCATGATAACAAAGCATCAGGTTCTTCACGTTTTCCAGAAAGGCCTTTCTATCATCTGGGATTGGGTCGACCTCAACCACATCATCAGAAAACTACAATGGATTTTTGTTTTGGGTGCATATGGTAAACAATAGAGGCCTCAGGACAGAGCCCTGGGGTACCTCGTATTCAGAATGAGGATTGGCAATGATTGGCTGCCCACATTCACTGCTTGAGGTTTGAACAGTAAGTTCAAGACCCACTAATAGTGAGTTTTAGGAAAATATACTCTACACCAGTGCATAAACACAGACAGTGATTGCAACCAAAGGTCGATTACGCATGTTGTTGCCTTCGTACTAGGACTGCACAATTAATCGAATTTCGCGATTACAAATACAGATGCCACAATTACGAAATCATTCAAAGCAGCATTTAATCGTTCAAAGTCCACTTATCTTATTCTGCATGCTTAAGATGTGTTTTTTTTCTTTCTAAAGGTTATCTTAAGGGTTTTTTCATTGTTTTAATTTTAGTTTTAGTGTAGCATTATAATACCATTCATATTTTTACTTTTTTTTTATTTAAAGAAGAAACCAATCCAATGTAGTGCTGGGCGGTATATCGAGTTTGTATGATATATCGATATTTTCTTTATAAGTAATTTGATATGAGGCAATACCGTTTATATCGATATACAGTAGTTTGATACGAGCGCATCTGAAAATATAGCAGAGGACACAGACTGAGCTGCTGCGGAGAAAGTGCATAATCCAATTTGTTCTAAACGTGACAAGCTTCATATTAAGGCCTTTAAAAAATGGTAAGACATAGTTTATAGTTTCGTTTCGCATATTAGTTTAAGCGGCTCGGCCCGTCTTGTGCTCTGACAGAAAGATGACAGAGACACTAGGCTACTCGCGCTGTTTAATGTGTTTGAGATGTGCTGTCTTCCTGAATGCATAACTTACATTTCACAGGTATATTCTCCATCTGTAAATGTTAGAAAGCTATGGAAATATTTAAATTTTTCTGTCAGAAGTGCATATTCTCCGCTAATCTTCAGTGAACGAGTGCCGTCGCGCACGTGTGCCAAACAGACAGAGCACAATTAAATAGGAGCGCAATAATTCTGACTGAAATATACATTTCGCTGAAATATTTGTAGTTGGACAATAAATGTGACATGTAGAATTTTAAACCTACAAGTAAGTCTATTTTTATGATAGCACTGACTGTAAAGTGACTGTAATGGGATAATCAAAATAACCTAACACAACTCTGTGCTTTTGTTCTCATTTATTTTCATTTTTAGTTAAGTGAATTTAACTTCCGCTTGAAAAGCCTTATTTTTGTTTTTAGATTGCAGTGTTACAATGTTAGAATGAAATGTGATTTTAACCCTTTTTTGCACATAATATAAAGGCTTACATGGTTACATTCACTTTATTTGTTTTCATAGCCTTTAATATGTATTGTTTTGTTGGACAACATTGGGCAGTAAGTGAAATATATATATATATATTTATATTAAATACAGATTTTTACAAATACAAAAACGAAAATACCGAGAGATATACCGTATATCGCAAATCGGCCAAAAAATACAGAGATGAATTTTTGCCCATATCGCCCAGCCCTAATCCAATGTATAGTTGACATTTTGAGGCTTAATACTGTAGAATACTATAGAATACAATACAAGTTTTTCAGTTAGAGTGTTTTCAGCTTGTTTATTTTAATATAAAAATATGGCAAGCAGTTGCTTCAAACAATAATATAAACATCATTCAAAGTAAAATGTGATAATCGTAATTAATAATCACAATTAATTACAATTTCAAGAATAATTGACAATTGATTAGGGTTGGGTTTCGTTTGAATTTTATCAATTCCGATTCTGCTTATCGATTCCGATTCTTTTCGATTCCCTTCTTGAACGAATCTCTTGTATGATTCAAAGACAAATACATTTTAACAGCCCCTTTTCGCCACCTACTGGCTTAATGATTTAATCGATAAATCTTCATTTGAAGTTTCAAATTACTTTCAAAAAGTTATTTACTCTATTTTAATCGCTACCATACACATCATACACACAGTTAACAGCCCCTTTTCGCCACCTACTGGCTTAATGATTTAATCGATAAATCTTCATTTGATTTTAATCGCTACCATACACATCATACACACATGTATATCTGAACTATAAACTTTTATCCCAGTACTTCTGTGATTTGAATGTTTGTAACACAGAAATAATGATACTGTGTGACTGAAAAGACTGAAGCTGTTTCATTCATGACAGACAGCTGCTCTCTTTAGGTCAATGGCAGCGCGAATGCAAATTTAATTGTTCAAATCACACTGGTGTGATCGTACGCTGCACGGACGAACCAAGTGATCACAACATTGATCGCACACGTCAAAGGTTGAGGAATGAAACAGACAAATCATTGTAATTTAGGAATATAATCACGTAAGTGTTTGAATCGTGTTCGCGATCTTTAACGATCTATTCAATTAAAGTGCTTTGTCATGTTGGTGGTTACACCTCTCTTGCAACATGTTTCGCTATCACAGATATTATACTTAGCTTTGATTGCAAATGTAGCCAAACTTTGGAGCACTTAGATTAGCGAGCAAGGTCCTGGCAGTGGCAGATCGCTAGGTCCGGTCCTCACAGATGAAGAAAAAAAAAGCACATAGGAATCGATAGGCGGAATCAACAAGTATCCAATTCCTGACCTTAAGTATCCGATTCTGGAATCGGAATCGATTTTCGATTCCCAACCCTACAATTGATTTTTGTCATAATTCTCCAGCCCTACTTCGTACCACAATTTATTAGTTTGTTGGTATGTTTCTGTATTCTATATGTTTTTGGCCTTATGTTTTGATCCCATCCCTGAACTTGGTGACAGGCCTTTTTGGACCTATTGTTATCTCAGCTGTTATCTCTAATCTTTAGACATCTGGATTGTAACCAGAATCATTGAAATCAGATCCTGACTTTTGTTTCCATTTAGTTGACCTAAATCCAGTCAGAAGTAATTACATGCTTACCCTGGCATTAAAATGATTTGTTTAATATTTACCCTGTTCAGTAGTGTGTCAAATCTAAATCATTGTCCCTGGCAAATTGCTTTTAGCTGATCACCAATTAAATAAACAGAAATGAGCTGGAACAGGTACAGAGCTAGATGAAAACTCCAATAGTCACTTTATGAGTTTGTGAAGATAAATGTATGGTAATCATATTATCGTTGTTTGTAGTTGAAACTGGTCACGTTTTGTTTTATTTAGATCGAGTTAATGGCAGGCATCTATCAGACATTCTCATCTGCCTCATTTGTCTCATCTGTCTGTCTGAGGAGTGATTCGTTTTTTTTTTTTGTGTGCAGTTGGTGGTTTTGAGATCTGTTTTTGTAAATATGACTTTATTTTAGCAATAAAATATCAGTGGTTTTGTGAGCACTTTTTCCTGTTTTGTCAGTACAGGTTTTTAGTTGCTTCCTTCATCATCCTTCAAAGAACTGTCAGTCTGGGTTATTGAAAATAATTGCAATCATGTACAGATATAGTTGTAATATTTAGCTTTCTTTTTTTCTGCTTTGTTAATTATCAATTATATAAACTATTTAGATCTAAATCTAAAGCAAAAAGATAGTGTAAAACAATCAACCTGTGGTAAAAAAAAAAAAAAACAAGTATCAGAGCTCTGAAACTGATCTGTTCAATCTTTATATCACAATGAATACTAAACCTTTATAGTAATTGTGTTTATCACAAATGTTCTGTGCAGGTGAGCAGTAATGGAGCAGCTGCCTCAGGTCAGGTAGCTCAGATAGGTGCGACTGCACAGGACCCCCAACAACAACAGCAGCAACAGCAGCCCAACGCCTGGCAGGTGATTAAAGGTGTCCTCTTCAGGTGAGTCCTTAATGTTGTGCACTTAAATGTTTAACTCTATAATTGTTTTTTTTTTTTCTTTTTCTTGTCTTAATATGCACTTTAAGAACTTCCTGCACTTTGGTCTTTATTTGACAGAGGTGGTTTGTTTTTGACCATTGTAAAACTCTGTGATGTGCTCGGTAACTTATAATAGATCATATGGTAGTGTTTAAGCTAGGTGTGCTGTTTTCCAGTGCATTTGAATGGTTTATTTGGTAATAATTATTAATGACATCTTCAGGGTTTCTGTAGTATCAAAATGAGAATTGTCAACTTTGACTGGAATTGCCTACTGAAGTTTTGATATTGTAACAACCCCAGCATGAGCCCTGAGGAGCTGTATTACTCAAGAGACATCCCGTGAGAGGAAAGCAACTGAACTCCTGAGCTGTTCTGGGTGCTCTAATTGATGTCAGGGGGGTTTATGTTAACTTGTGTTAATATTTCATACTTATGCAATATATAAAGTTTGTCACAATTACAGTATTTACCTTCTCCAGTGATATTTCTATAAACTCACTTTTCTCATATTTAAGGTGGGCTGCTAGAGGCTGTATTTCACTAAAAAAGCAAAAAACAAACAAAAAAAAAAACACTTTTTCATCTGTCGCGTATCATAGATGATAGTGTAAGGCAACACTATTGCATCATGAGTTTTGGGATTACGCTTTCAGAACATCATTGTACTGAAGTCTAATGTGAGTCTGCTCTTGTGTTTGTGTATCACCCAGGATTTTTATCATCTGGGCTATAAGCAGCTGGTTCCGCAGAGGTCCATCAACTCCAGATCCCAACACTCCTGCTGGAGCTCCACGAGTGCCCAGCCGAAACCTCTTCCCCAAGGACACCCTTATGGTATTCATAATCAAGACTAGGGTTGTGACGGTGATGAAATTTTCCCACCAGCAGTTAATCAACGTGTGACAACACCCGTAATACCGGTATCAGTAGGGCGGGGGGTGGGGGCTTGTGTTCATTGGAGTTTTCCTTCTTTTCCTCACTTTTCTTCACTTTTCAATAGCTTATAAATGCCCATGCGCATTTTACTTTCACTTTTAAATTAGCATCAATTCCACGTCAATTGCTTGAACGAACGAAAACAGAACAGTACAACGACAAACTTACTTAGGCTATAAACATAGAACTTTTATTAACAAAACAAATAAAAATACACCATGCTATAGACCTAATATAAAATGACAAATAACTTACACAAAGTTTAAACTGAAAATCTGCAAACACTGTGGAACCAAATAAATAAGAAATTAATATTTAAAAAAAACTTCCACAATCACCTTAGATAAACGGCACAACTCAACAGGCTTTTCAAAATCCAAAATACTGCCAAACAGGCACTTTTGCATTTCATTTTGAAATGCCGTGATGGGCAAGTGACGTAACCAGTGTTGCAGCTTAACACCGGTAACACCGACTATCGCAGCAAGCCTAATCAAGACCTTTCCCATCTGCCTTTTACATGTATAACATAAGCAGGATATCTAATCAAGCTTATAACCAAATTCTCTGTAAGAACTGGTTTGTAGCTGCTTTTGTAATTCTGTTACCTGTCTTTTCACAGGATTTATATGTATATATCTCTGAGAATGAGATATTTACAGATTTTAACAATACAGAAGTCCTGTTCTGGTACCAGCAAGATCTGGTTTATGGAGATTGGACCACAGGGGAGTCGGGGGATGGCTGCTATGAGCATTACCTAGAGCTGGGCCTCTCTGAGGTGAGACACAAATGCTTTCTATAAATATGAATGGAGTAGATCTGAGACTTGCATGGTTGTTTAAGAAGTAACATTGATTTTTGATTGTACATGTTTAGCGGCAGTGTCGAAATCCAAGAATACACTTTTGTTTGGCATTATTTGTTTATAGTGCACCTGTTTGTTTGTTCAGAGTGTGAAGCAGAACGGCTCTATATACATCCACATTTACTTCACCAAGAGTGGCTTCCACCCAGACCCCAAACGCAAGGGCCAGTACCGCAGGTTATCCACGGTCCATGCCACTCGAAGTGAGTGTGTCCAGTTTTTGCTTATGTTACTTGCGTTTCTTGTTCTCTCACTCACCTCTGTTACACTTGTGTTTTTGCTGCTCACACGTTTGACGTGTCAACAGGCCTAAAATAACACATTATCAGTGCATGGGTGAACCCTCTTTAAAGCCTTGAGCCCGTTTTCACACACTTCCTGTTCAACAGTGCTCAACAAATACAAGAGGAGGAAGTTCCTCAAGACCAAGAACCTGTTGACGGGAGAAACTGAAGCTGATCCAGAAATGATCAAGGTAAGTTTTAATGAGATTTGTCTCAAAATAAGCTGATCGAGATTGCTCTTGGCTTGTCCCACATCCTTTTTCACCATATTTTCCATCGCTGTGTATTCTGGGATTGCCTTGTCAGTGAATGACATGTATGCTGTGAAGTTTCTAAAGTTCTGTTTGTACATTCTCAGCGGGCTGAGAGTCATGGGCCTGTGGAGATCATATCCCATTGGCATCCCAATCTCACTATCAACATGGTGGACGATCACACAGCCTGGGTGAAAGGGTCTGTTCCTCCACCTCTTGACCAGCGTAGGTTTTTTTGGTGCTAAACTTCCTCATATTATTGAAACTATTTATTGAGCCGTAGATGAATCCAGAATCGCCTCTGGTTAACCTGAGCACTTCTTTTCCTCTCAGATGTAAAGTTTGATGCAGTGAGTGGAGACTACTATCCCATTGTTTATTTCAATGACTACTGGAACCTGCAGAAGGACTATTACCCTATAAACGAGACCCTGCAGAATCTGCCCCTCCGGCTCACCTACTGCCCCCTCTCCTTGTGGCGCTGGCAGTTATATGCCGCCCAGAGTGCCCGCTCCCCCTGGAACTTCCTGGGAGAGGACACTTATGAGCAGTCAGATGAGGACCAGGATTCTGTGAAGGTCTGTTCTGCACTTCAAAAGAATATTTTTAATGGTTTAGAGATCCAAGTTTCTTTACCATCAAAATGTTTGAGATGAAATCAGGGTTACAGACATGTTTATAGCTGTATGTATATAGATATTGGAATGTAGAAAATGTGAACCTGGTTTTGATTTTTGTTTTTCACACTTCCAAATGTCAAATATAAAAAGGAAATATTATTTGAACGGATTGATAATTGGTTTTAATCAATATTCACACTTTTTTTTTTGTTTTACTTGTATTTTGTTAATTTTGGAAGTACAGATAAATGACACCATTTGGTTGGTGTCAAAAGAATAGTACCCCACAATTAAAACCCATTAAATCGCAATTATTTCATTTGTTGATTTAGACCATTTAGATTAAATTTTTTTTTTATAATGCTAATGAAAAAAAAAGATCATTATTATAATATATATATTAGAATATTTTGCATATGAATAAAATAATGATTAAAATAATGATGGTTTTGGCTATTGTGGTAAAATGCAGAAATAAAATTCATTTTGGCTATTGGAACACTTAAACTATTAGTCGAAAAATCAATTGATTGGTTGTAAAAAGAAAAAATGTTGAATTTCTATATGCTATTTGCTTCCCATAATGTGTCACCATTTCCGGGTCCAGACCCTGTATCGGATGCCAAAACTGCTGCTAATATACACTCATAGTGTGCTGGAATACTACCAAAAGGTCATGATCCTACCCTTTATTTCCATACTGAAATCTCAAATAGCCAGACGGTAATTCATCTTTCATGAAATATTAATTAATCAAAATATTGGTGTCCAGGACCCAGTGTGCCCAGAGGCTATAGTGCACACTGAGTTTTTGAAAGCTTAAATGTGCAATATGTATAAATAGTGCGCATAAACACCTGTATTTTCAGTTGAAATTAGTAGAGGCTCAGACACGGAAGAGTCACAATAAGCAGATAATCTTCTCAGCCTGAATCATAAATATTAATTAGATGATGTAATGTTAAAACTACAAGTAGTGTAACTACTTTGAGAAATGCCATTAAAGTATCTTGTGTTAATATACTTGCTTATTGTCTCAACAGGTGGCCCTACTTGAGACCAACCCCTACCTCCTGGGACTGACCATCGTTGTTTCCATCGTCCACAGCATTTTTGAGTTCTTGGCCTTCAAGAATGGTAAATAAATATTGATGTATGTATGTGTGGTAATCGATTGAGACTTGTGGGTTCTGGTGTCTTGAGCTCTCATTTCACTTTCTCTGCAGATATCCAGTTCTGGAACAGCCGTCAGTCTCTGGAGGGGCTGTCTGTGCGCTCCATCATATTCGGGGTGTTCCAGTCTCTGGTAGTGCTGCTCTATATCCTGGACAATGAGACCAACTTTGTCGTCCAGGTCAGCGTATTCATCGGTCTGCTTATCGACTTCTGGAAGATTACCAAAGTCATGGACGTCAGGGTGAGATGATGCCACTGCCAGGCATTTTGGATTGCTTCAATTAAATGGCTAGGCTTGAATTCTTGGATCTCGATGTTGATTCTTGTTTTCTTTTCCTAGCTGGACAGAGAGAACAGGATTGCTGGAATTGTCCCACGATTGACATTCAAAGATAAGTCCACATATGTGGAGTCTTCAACCAAAATCTATGATGATGTAAGAGATCTTTCAGCTGAAATTTAGAGGTGATTCATCAAATACACATTTATACAAGTTTTATGATTAATGTCTCTTTTGCTTTTTTTTTTCCCCTAGATGGCCTTTAAGTACCTGTCCTGGCTGTTGTACCCTCTCTTTGGGTGCTATGCAGTTTATAGCTTATTATATGTGGAACATAAAGGCTGGTACTCTTGGGTGCTCAGTATGCTTTATGGGTTCTTGTTAACCTTTGGTAAGTATAACTGTACTTTTGTAATGGCTGCATTCAGCTGCATTTCTGATTATCAATAATTGCTCCGAGTCTGTGGCAACTTAAAAGTCAGTGACTAGATGCTTGAGGAAAAACTCAAAAAGGGGAATTCCACTTTTTCACCTTCAAGGCCCAAAGGATTTTCTACAGTTCTGTAAATAGAATAAGAGACAACGCTGTCCGCAAGGACACACTGTCACGTGTGAAATCCAGTCGCTAGCCTGAAGGGTGTGAATGCGTGTTGACACACATTCATATTTAATGGATTTTAAAGTGAAATTAACAGGAAAACTTTTTGTCTTAACCTTCAGATGTAGCTTTTTGCCATATTCTGAGTTAGTTTGTACTTTACATTTTATGCAGTTGGCAGATGCTTTTATCAGGGTTTCTGTGGGTCATGCATCTTAATTCAACCTTGCAGAAATAAAGGCCTTGAAAAGGTCTTAAATCAGAACAGAAGGTCTTAAATTCATACTTTTTTGCCATTAAATGTTGCATGCATTGCTAAAAAGTAATATCCTCCTCAGTAGTTTTGTCTTGCTTTACAATACAAATATCTAAATATCCTTAAATTAAGATACATTTACTGTAGAATACTGAATACTAAATACTGTGGATGAACTTACCTTCATAAAACCTGCAGAAACCCTGTTTTATCCAAATTGACTTGCATTACATTCAAGATAAACGTTTTTAATCAGGTCATGCTTTCTCTGGGAATCAAACCCATGACCTTGGTGTCACTAATGCAATGCTCTACTGTTTGAGCTACAGGAACTTTAGTTTGTAATTCTGTTTGGTGACACTATTATTGCTGAAATCACACAGCAAATTACAAAATGTCTGACATTTAAAAATATTTTGTAAAATATCCTATTGGCTGGAGTGAATAGGGCGATTGCAGTACATATCATTTTGTTTTTTGAAGTATAAGAGCGAGGAAAAGAGGCCAAACGCAGCCTTGCTGGTCTCCTGATTCTGTGTACTTATTTTCTGTTCATTCCATGTGTGAAGGGGTACCAGGAAGCAGTTGTGTAGTGTAGGACGGAGGTGGCCAAGAAAAAAAAAAAAAAGCCAATTCTGTTCAAATGCTACCCGTGCGAGACAGATGATGTTGATGTTGCAAACTTGAACAAAAAATAAAGAAATAACAGCCTTGTAGGTATTAATATATAATTACATTAATATTATTAATAACTATGATGATTTCTTTTTTTCTTAAGCCTCTGAATTTTCTTTTATATGTCCTAAAACTGTATAGCATCTCAGCTTGTAAAACTTAATCATGCTGACATGAACTTGTCTAGCGATAGCTGAATTGCCAGTCTTCTCACTGAGAACTAGTTCCATTACATTCACACTCCACGGCTGGACCATCATGTGTCACATCCAGGTTCGGCTCGACACATTGACGGTCCAAGAATGCGTGAGATAAAATGTCTGGTTTGTCCTCATTTTCTTTGGTGCCGTACTTCTGAATTGATTGGGCTTTCTTTTTTGGTACGTTCCAAAATTTAATCACTCATGTTTATAGTAAAGCATAAGTGCAGTTTAAATCCAACATTGTTTTATTCACGTCTCAAGAGTTGTTAATTTGCATATTTGGCTTTTTAAAGGTGTGACATTGAGCTCATTACATATATATATATATATTATACCTAGGGAAAAGTTAAACATTTGATTACACCATATGAAGCGCATACTTGCTCCTCTGGTTTAGCATGAATCTCTGCCTTAAAACAAATGTTTTGTGGTTTCCAATGCAAAGACTTTTGCTACCATAGCTACTTTTTTCATATTAAAATAATACTAAAATTGCTCGAACAGGTTGGTTTCGGTATAAACTAATATTATTAACTAGCAGATTTACATTTTAGATTTACATTTTGTTGGACAAAAACGAAGCTCATTTTTTGATTTACAGGTTCTGAATTAAGAACGTGAACCATAAAAAAAACATTCTCTAAGGCTTTGGCAGAATTTTGGATGATGCACATTGAGTCACCAATCTAAATTTCTCTTCACTATCATGTGTTCCGCATATTCACCTACTGTATGATATAATCCAAAAATGGTCCATGTAGCTGCAGAAAGCAAATGATGTTGTATAGAGCTGTGTTCATATTCACAAATGTAATCAGGTTTAACATGCATTTTTTTATTTGTTGTGCGGACACCTAGCGGCGTGCATGCATCACGCAAAAGTTCTCAGTCACCGATGTCATAAGAAATGCTGTTTGCACTCTATTCGTTATGGTTCATTTATTCTGCTATCAAAATTGTCCAATAACAAGGCAGTTTCCGAAATAAAGTGAGTAAAATTCAACTATTCAATATGGCGGCCCCTGTAAGGCGACCCGCTCCATGTAAATATACTCGATGCATCATAATTGTCAAACATTGTCCTCGTTCCTATGTGGATAAAACGTGCTTAATTACTAACAAAATAGCTTTAACAACTTTTTACTAATAATATGGCGGCCCCTGTAAGGCGGCCCGCTCCATGTAAATATACTCGATGCATCATAATTGTCAAACATTGTGCTCGTTCCTATGTGGATAAAACGTGCTTAATTACTAACAAAATAGCTTTAACAACTTTTTACTAATAAAATGAAACTGATAAACTTATTTGCAAATCAATGTTCACCTCACATTTATTAGTAAACGCAGCAAATATAAACTCAGATTTATTCAAAAATATTACAAATCACACAAAAGGCCCGCTTTAAACAGAAGAAAACATTTAAAGTTCTTTTGATATTTAAAATTAATTTTGCTTGACAATAAAAAGGTTACAAAATTAAACTTACAAAACATTACAATAAAAAAAAAAAAAACACTTCAAATGAAGATATTTCGTGAGTCTGGAGGGTCCATGTGGAGCAAATTCACAATAAAATGGAAAGTTCATTGACGAGCTGGTCTGCGGTGGGTCGGTCGGACGCTGGGGTCCCCGTCCCAGCACAGGCTGATCAGTTTTTGACACTTCTGTCCAAGAGAAGACTGGATAAAAACATCCCTAGCGATGGAAGGGCGCAGATTATACTCCACGACAGCGTACAGAACATACTGTCTGTGTCCCTCATACGGCGGCTCTCGGGTGAGAAGCTGCCACATGGTGATGCCAAACGAATACATGTCCACGCGCGGAAAAATCTCCGCCTTTCAGCAGCTCGGGCGCGCGGTGCGTGAACGTGCCACCGATTTCACTCAGGTGCGTCACAGTTTGCTAGTTTGAAAGAGCACCCAAAATCTGCGAGCTTACAAACACCCTGTTATGATACTAAAACATTGGCAGGTTTTAAATCCAAGTGGACTATGCCGTGCGCCTGCAAGTGCTGGAGCGCGCGCGCGATGTCCACTGAATATTTCACGCACTTGTCCAGAGGCAGCGGGTCCGTGAGTCCGTAAATGACCTGCTGTAGGTTTAACGCGCCGGCGAACTCCATTACAATCGTCCCGATGTTATCTTTGGTGAGGTGCGTAGGAGTGCACGTGGTGGCCGCGATCACGCGCTCGATGTTTTGATGTGCAGGTGCGCCACATTGAGTTCAACCCAAAAACTCCAGAAACTCTGCCTCGAGGCCAGTTTGTTTTTCACACATCTCACTTTCTTTACAGCAACAGTCTCGTCAAAGTATGTGCCTTTGAACACCAGACCGAATCCACCGCTGCAGATGGGCTTCAAGGCCTGTAGTTCTCGCCAATGAATCACGGAGGACCACAGTCTATGGGCGATTTCACCGTGAAACGTGTTTGTGGGCACACGCAGCGTGGATCCACTCGCAGTTTTGGATAGCGGGCTGCTGCACGCGCCAAACTTCAACCCAAAATCCTTTGGCAGTAGTCGGGTGACGGCATAGTGCATGGTAACCGTGAACCCAAAAGAGCTGTGCGCTAAATTTGGGGCTCCGCTTCGCGTGGGAGAATTCACGTGCTCGTTTTATGCACGTCTGTCATATGACCATCACGGGCCAAATGTCAAGGCGTTTAATTTGTATGTTCTATGAAACTATTCTCGGTGTGTAGGCGGCATATTTAAATAGGTCAACCTTTTAAATAAAACAATGGTTAAAACAAGTCCGTTTAAAACCAGTGCTATAAATCACCCGCGTTATTTGCGGCTCCGATGTAAATCTCTTTTCTTCCTTACTAGTGCTGTATTATCAAAGTCTGCCGCAATGATGAAACCAACAAGCTCAGTGTGCCCTCATTTCATCCATTTACTAGAGATCATGTGACTATATCAACATTCTCACTCTCTGAGCTAGTACTCGGTTATTTATTAATATACATGCATACATAAAAATATATATATATATATGTGTTTGTGTATAACAGTAGAAATATTTTATATAACACACACACGTATATATATATATATATATATATAGATTTAAATATCTTTTCTACCTTAGTAGTGCTGTATTAACAAAGTCAACAGATTAAAACAACAGGCTCAATGTGCCCTCATTACATCATTGTTATTCTGCAATATTTACACTAGAGATCATGTGAATATCAACCCTCACTCTCTGAGCTAGTACTCAAAGTTATTTATATATATATATATATACATATATATATATATATATATACACAGTGCCGCTTGAAAGTTTGTGAACCCTTTCGAATTTTCTATATTTCTGCATAAATATGATCCAAAACATAATCAGACTTTCGCACAAGTCCTGAAAGTAGACAAAGAGAACCTAATCAAACAAGTGAGATAAAAATATGTTCTTTGTCATTTATTTATTCAGGAAAATGATACAATATTACGTATCTGTGAGTGGCAAAAGTATGTGAATCTCTAGGATTGGCAGTTAATTTGAAGGTGAAATTAGAGTCCCATCTGTTTTTCAGTTGTTTTCAATCAGTGAAATTACTATCAGGTGTCGGCCTTTCTCACATTGGCTAATGTTAATGTTCATGAGCCCACCATCAGGAGAACACTGAACAACCACGGTGTGCATGGTGCATCCAAAAAGAACATTGCTGCCAGTCTGCAGTTTGCTAAAGATCATGCGGACAAGCCAGAGGGCTACTGGAG